CCATATAGTATAAATACATACATAATGCTAGCATTGAGAAGAGTAATTTATGAATGAAAGATTTGTTTCTAAACCCAAAGCATACTCAATTCCTTATTGTTATTTCTTTATGTACTGCAGATAAAACTTTAGATATTAAAGGTCTCTGTGAGTTGTTTGCGACATTTTTATTGAATTTCTTTGAAACTTTAAATCCATTTAAATTCCTGAAATGCAATAATTGAAAAATAGAAACAGTTGAATGACACACAGAACATATAAAATAATAATTGACAATGTAAATCCTACAACAGAAATATAAACTGGATCGTATGGTCAGAAATAAAAATCATTGTAGAATTTAGATCCACTGGAGACCCTTTTTCATCTGAGGCCAACCCCATTTCCTTTATAATGTCTTTGGAAATTGTTGTTATTTTTACTTGACAACCCAGAACTTTTCATCTGATCCTGCTTTTTCGCACACCCCCATTGTTTTCAACAGAAACCCAATTTTTCAACAAAGGCTTTTCTTGATTCATTCGAAGCCGAGACTTATTTTATTCTGTCGGAGACCACTATAATAATTCATTATCTCCTTCATGGTATTTTTAGAATATATAAATTATGTCTTCATGTCTGGGTTGAGATAAAGATGTTTTCTATCACAATTTCGTTCAGTCTCCAAATAATATTTAAAGGCCTCCGATATAATGTTGTCACCTAGCTTCTAGAATGAAAAAAGAAAGTAAAAAATAAAAAGGATCAATACAGCTGTACTCCGTTAAAAGTAATTTTTTACTGTTTAAATTGCAGAAGATGGACAGTAAAAATAAATATTAATTAACAGGAATATATCAAAAGATCTAGTTGGAAACTGGAAATCTTTTATTTTTCAATTACACCGGATTTGTTTAGCATTAGCATAAGCTCGCATTTGTAACATCATAATATAAATATTCATGACTTATAATTCATTTAATATTTATCATTATTCTTTTTTTTCCATTCCATTTAAACACCAGGGTTTATGAAATAAATATATAAATCATATAAGCAAACTTACATAAATTTTACTAGAGAGGGATGTCGCGTTTAGTCTTTCATAGAAGTCTACGTGAAAAAAACAATCAATCAATCGCAAAGCTAAGAATGTTCCAGAACTGAATTAAAAATGACAAGAATCTGTTTGAAAAATATTCAATATAACCCTAAAACTCTAGAAAGTTTTGTTAGTTGCCAAACTACAAGTTCATGGTGGAGGTATACCTATTAGGAGGTTAAGCTGTAGCCCACAATTTCCAGGAAAATTCAGAATCAGCTCTTTCACTTCTCCTTCATCAAGGAGAAGAGCTGCCGGGGACCATTACTGTAAGCTGACTGTTTTAATCTTTTTGGTTGATATAAAGTTACTGTTTCCTGGTAAAGCTGGGTTCCCAAGCTAGTTTGTACATATTTTCAATAATTGTTTTATCAGAAAGAAAAACATGTTGAAATAAACCAAATATACTCAATCTAATAGAAAACCAAAGAGAAATATTTGCTTAGCTAATTATAATTTCTCACTGATATTAGTGCAGTGCTACATCATCAGGTTTCTTTATAAGACTTTTATAGAATTTTTATTTTGACGTCTTATAAAAACTGATGTATAGCTAGCAAATATCGAGTGTTTGCTTTAAACGTAATTTGATAATCTATTTGTAGAGCATGCATGCCTGATTCCATAACAGTACCATTAATGCTTCGACTGGTTAAAGATGATTTATCCTTGTTATAATAACTTTTTTAACTTTAATAAATTTATTGTTTGTTTCAATTTAAAAAAAATCGTCGGACGAGGGTGGGGAGTGCAGAAGTCGGACGAGGGTGGGGAGTGCAGAAGTCCTTAATTGGTAATCACAGCCACCCAAACGTGTTTCGCGGCATGCACGCTCCTCATGTTTGTAGATGGTTAGAGATAAAAGAGTTAGACATCTATTTTCAATTTTTTAAATGCGCAGAATTAGAAAAATTAGCGAAATACGATTTACAAAGAGCTTAAAGAGCAACGGTAACAGAAAAAGTTCTTATTATAAACGGGCTTTAAAAGCCAAGTATGGATATATTATCAATTTAAGATTCTTGCATCCTAAGACTTTTCCTTTACTCATTTTAGATTAGTTTTGCTTTCAAACATTATCTAACAGTTTTTTGTGGTATTTGTTTTCAATGGTTTGTTACTTCATATATATAGTTTTAACCTCAACGCAAGTTTACTGGGATTCTCTTAAAACCGATATCTATACTCTGCAGGGTTAATGTTTTGACATTCAATTTACAATCCTTTTAAACTTTTCTAAACTCAAGAGAAAAGAATTTTGTAAATGTAACATGAAACTCAATAGATAACTTCTATTTTCAATTTTGCAATGTGCAAAATTAATTACGATTGTGTATGATGAAGTAATACTTTTTTCATAGAATCGCTTTCAAAATGTTAAAAATCATGATATTCAAAAGCGAAAAAAGCGAAAAAAGCGAAAAAAGCGAAAAAAGCGAAAAAGGTCAAAAAGCGTGGAATATCTAAGACAATTTGAAAATTGTAAATAACATTTAAAGGTAACGCAAAATTTAGCAATAACATTTTTTTTGCGGAAACCTAAAATAATTTGTGCGGAAACCTGCAATATTTTGTGCGGAAACCTACAACATTTTGTGCGTCGAAATATACAATATTTTGTGTAGAAACCTACAATATTTTGTGCGGAAACCTACAATGTTTGTTTGGAAACCTACAATATTTTGTGCGGAAACCTACAATGTTTGTTTGGAAACCTACAATATTTTGTGCGGAAACCTAAAATATTTTGTGCGTCGAAATATACAATATTTTGTGTAGAAACCTACAATATTTTGTGCGGAAACCTACAATGTTTGTTTGGAAACCTACAATATTTTGTGCAGAAACCTACAATGTTTGTTTGGAAACCTACAATATTTTGTGCGGAAACCTACAATATTTTGTTCGGAAATCTACAATATTTTGTGCGGAAACCTGCAATATTTGTGCGGAAACCTGCAATATTTTGTGCGGAAACCTAAAATATTTTGTGCGGAAACCTACAATATTTTGTATGGATATATACAATATTTTGTGTAGAAACCTACAATATTTTGTTCGGAAACCTACAATATTTTGTGCGGAAACCTACAATATTTTGTTCGGAAATCTACAATATTTTGTGCGGAAACCTGCAATATTTGTGCGGAAACCTGCAATATTTTGTGCGGAAACCTAAAATATTTTGTGCGGAAACCTACAATATTTTGTATGGATATATACAATATTTTGTGTAGAAACCTACAATATTTTGTTCGGAAATCTACAATATTTTGTGCGGAAACCTACAATATTTTGAGTGGAAACCTGCAATGTTTTGTGCGGAAACCAACAATATTTTGTGCGGAAACCTGCAATATTTTGTGCGGAAATCTACAATATTTTGTTCGGAAATCTACAATGTTTTGTGCGGAAACCTGCAATATTTTGTGCGGAAACCTACAATATTTTGTGCGGAAATCTACAATATTTTGTGCGGAAACAAATTATTGCATATTGGGACAGTAAATTGTAAACGTAATTTCAAGTGAGCTTACATTTTTAGAGTGGCACGTCACTCCAACGTAAATACATTTTTAGAGTGGCATGTCAATCTAAAGTAAATATATTTATAGAGTGGCACGTCAATCTAAAGTAAATACATTTATAGAGTGGCACGTCAATCTAAAGTAAATATATTTATAGAGTAGCACGTCAATCCAAAGTAAATACATTTTTAGAGTGGCACGTCAATCTAAAGTAAATATATTTATAGAGTGGCACGTCAATCCAAAGTAAATAAATTTTTAGAGTTGCACGTCAATCCAACGTAAATACATTTTTAGAGTGGCACGTCAATCTAAAGTAAAGGAGTTGAGTCTTTGCCACAAATTCTGGTTTTTAAATCCCTATATCTTAATAACCCAACGTTGTAGACCTTAGATATTTCAAACTTTGACTTCTGTTATATCAAATAATCAAAATTTGAAATATCTTAGATTTACATAATTTGGTTGTAGATATATAGGTATTAGAAAATTGGGATTTGTTGCTAAGACTCAATTCCTTTCACGAAGGATTGAATTTTATACGTTTTGAATAATGATACTTATTATAAGAAGCTATTGAGAAAAACAAAAATGCTTGAAATTGCTAATATGTAATAGAATAAATTCATCTTTCTAAAATTTTTGCGTAAAATTAGAGCTAGAGGAGCAACAAGCTTACAAAGTTGTACCAGTAATGTCAATTCGATTATACCTTCTCCTCCTGGTTAGTTTGCAGTGGTTGCAAGTAGATACTTTACCTGATCCAAGGTACTAATGCAAGGAAAGTTAGTTCAGAGTTGTACGCATTTTTTGTACTGCAGTGTACTGTCTCTGGGCGGAAAAGTAAACACAAGACGGATGTCACAGCCTGACATGAAATCAATTTTCACAAAAATTATCTATGAAATATTATGGTCATAGGAAACTATTATGTGACTTTTAAAAATTATCAAAATTAAATGCTTTTAACTTCCTCGGATACTAAACGAACACTGGTGCATCTATTCTTGTTTACAATTTCCGCCCAGAGAGAACTGGTTTCAATATGTACGCAGAGTATACGCAACTGCAATTAACTGTCCTTGCATTAGTACCTTGACCTAATCAAAGAGGAATTGGGAGGTGACTAAAAATAACGTCTAGTCCAATTTGAAAAAAAGTAAAAAATGAAAAATATATGAAATCACACGAAGAGAGAATGATTTATTATGAATGAAATATACAGCTAAATATTATGATGAAATTCATTGATGGGAATAAGTCTAATAAATATATTGGTAGGAGTTATAGATCTAATTTGTTTAACATTTACAAGATTTAATACGAAGATTCTAACACTGCACGGAATATGCATTATATCTATCTATTATATATTTTTATTTTCATGTTTATTAACATATTTCTTGAATTTCTTGTTTTTAATGATTTTGTGTTATTTTAAAAACTATTGATTTTTCTTAGTCTAAAATGTGTTTACCTCGCACATTATAACGTTTTAAATCTTAAGATTTGAATAAAAAGATTTCAATATTTTTTTTAAATGTAGCGTATACTTGAAAACATGAAGAAGAAAAAAAAACATTAAATATAGTTCCGATTTATGAAAAAAGTTCTTGATGAAAATGCGTTTTCTAATACTCCAAAATCTCTTTAGCTTCCTCTTCCTCAAAAACACTAAAAAAAGGGTTTAATAATTTCTGAAAGGGATTGTGGGCATACTGTTAAGTGACTTTTCATTTTTGCAGAGTTGGATGTCCTTTAATCTTTATCTGATCAAGAATTAGACTTACGGATTCGGGCTTCAGAGACAATGAAAGGAATTGGTAGAATTAGACACATTTCAAGAATAAAAATTGAAAAAATTAGTCTGTTCCATTTAGATATTTATTTTTAAAGATTATTTATTTAATTACCTGTCTGCTACACAGTTAAAGGATTTACCAACAAACCAGCAGGTTGTATCTTCACAACAATTCAATTTAACCGAGGCTCCTCTCATACCTCCCCTAGATAGAATATTATTCAATTCCGGATTTTTATTATTTTTTCTCCTTATTTGGAAACATGAGTGACATATTCTGTATCTGACGTTTCTTTTGGAAAACTGAGTGATTGTGTGTAAAAATATACGTTCATTTTGATCCAGAATTGATGGCAAATGAAAAAATGCAGTGTTTGTGTCAAACAGATTTCATCAAGATGGGAGTATAGTGTAGTGTTATGTCAATCTAAAGTAAATATATTTATAGAGTGGCATGTCAATATAAAGTATACCTATTAGGAGGTTAAGCTGTAGCCCACATGGATAGGGTTAACCCATAAACCCATTTACCGATTTTCCTCAGACTTTGATTGGGAAACTCGGTAGAACCACAGGAATGGTCTAAGCTCAGTTAATAAATTCTCTCATTGAGGATATAGGGAATTCGTCAGATTGTCAGATTTAATGAATTTAAGGCCGGTCATTCAAAAATCATCGTTTGTTGGTTCTTGTGGTTTAAAAAGCTAGCTGCGTTTAAAAATTATATTTTTCCTGTTTTCAGTAAATATACTTTATATAGAATTCATTAAAAATTATGGAGATTAAAGATAATCCTGTGGAGATTAACATTATTAGTATTCGGATTAAACAGAGAAAAAAGAGTTTCACAGAATCACACTCAGATTCAGAATATTAACTTATAGTTAATTAGACTTAATCAGACTTTATTCCAATTTTCTGTAAGCACTACTAAGACGCTTGATCCTAACATTAATTAAAACTTAATCAAAAATGTTGGCCTCTGTTCACTAACTTAACATAAGGAGAGAGGGATTGGGGAGGGAGGAGAGGGATAGTTTAAATTGTTCACAATTTTACAAAACTCTTTGGATTCACAGATGAGGAAAACAATTGCTTTTTATAAAGATTGGATCGCAGAATCACAGAAAATTCGCAATATTGTAATTAGAAATTCGCAACTTTCAGTTTTGGTCTAATTTTTAGGAACACTTTGTTTTTCAATGGCTCCTCAGTTTTCGACTGAACAGTGTATATAATTATGAACTTCGAATGAATTAAGAAGAAAGAAACTTGAGGATTTAAAGAACTTTTCCTAAAAAATTATAGACCAGAACTGAAAATATAGAATTTTCTTTTTGCCTTTCTGAACTTTTGATTTTGAGAGAAAACTAGTTTCGAGGATTATTTTTTGGCCATTGGAGCATAAAAAAAGCTGGCCAAACGGTAGAACCGAATGGACTAACATTTTTTATAAAACCCATGGGTACCCAAGGGGTAACAATATCATAGGCTCAAAAAATTAGATTTGTTTTTTAATTAAAAAATTTTTTAGTCCCCGGGCAACGCCGGGCACATCAGCTAGTATACAATAGATGTCAAAAGGGCTGAACCATTCGGGCCTTCACAGTCGGGCCTACACTAGATCGGCCCTACATTAGATCGGACCTACACAGTCGGGTCTACATTTTTTGCGATAGCTCACATGATAGGTTCAGTACAGTCAAGTTAAAATTTTGCACAGAAAAATTGTCGACAATAAATATTGATAAAAAGGCGCTAATTCAGAAATTTTTTTTTGAGAGAGCGAAGAAAATAGTGACTTAATTTAGAGCTTTAGATAAAAGTTAAAACTTTTATCAGAAAAGTGGCGAGAAAGAAAAAATGCACAGCAATGAATATTAATTCGCAATTTAGAAAACTTATTAAATTAAAAATGAAGTAAAAACCTTTTCATCTAATAATACAGAACCTTTTTGGGGTTAACATATAAGTATAATAATCATTTATAGAATATGCGTTTAGAAAAGATGTAGATTGGTTCTTTGTGTTCTTCATCACAATAATCAAATTATTATATTGTAAATGGTAGAAAAAGTGCTGAGTACATCATATTTTGTTGATGATGTAACTGAGGAATAAAAACTGGAAATAAATGTTGCGCAATTAAGCTTTTTCTGGAGAAAAAAATTACTATTATATGTAAAATAGCGGAGGCACAACTAAGTTATATATTAGAAATGTATATGTATTGATGTGTTCAAGTTTACTACATTTTTTTCAATGTTTAGAAGAGAAGGAGAAGGTAAGCACAATATTAAGTGGTCCTCAACATATTTACAGAGTGAAATAATTAATTTAAACTGTATCCTTTAAACCTTTAAACCTTTAAACCTTTAAACATTTAAACCTTTAAACATTTAAACATTTGACTGATCATCACAACAGCAGAGAGTTCCGTGTGCTTCCTATTTGATATATATACAGGGTGTCCCACGAAACATGACAGTTGATAAATAGTTTTGAATGTCGTCTTCCATACACTATATTAGATATTAAAGGCTGTTTGAGGTTTATTTCGTTTAAAAAATCTTTTGCTCTAGTATATTTTACTTTGAAATTAATTTTACTATAATATGACTCCTAAATAATATTTTTATTATTGTCTTTCGTATTAAAAACTTATCAAATTATGGAAGAAGACATTCTAAACTATTTATACCAACTGTCATGTTTCGTGGGACACCCTGTATCTAAAATGGTGTTCTTATTGTCTGAAAACGGGAGTTATACGATAGCGTACAGTGTGAACTCTACGCAGTGAACTTAGCGTATATTTATTTTGCTTGTCTGTCTGTCTGTTTGTCTGTTTGTATAAAATAAACGTCAAAACGGTTGAACCAATGGGGCCCAACCCAAATTTTGTGTGGGACCTCACATGACCCTAGGATGGGTTTATGAATGCTCAAAATTACACAAATTTGTGTTCAACAGAATTTGATTTTTGTAAAATTTTGAAAATGCGCAAAAAATCTTATTTAATCCGCGAACTTTTTTATTGTACAAAGAAAAGATGCTCACAGATAGAGCCACAATTAAAAGTTGAATTAGAAGATGGGCGTGGAGCATCCTAGAAGTCTAGAAACAAATATTTCCCGAAAATATTGAATAATCTATGCCCAACACGGGTTTCAAAAAATCAAATGGAACCGTTGATATTTCAAAGTAAGAGTTTGTGGCAAAAACTCAATTCCTTTTGTAAATACCTGTAAAGACAGATTCCTCCTTCAGGAACACAAGCCTCGGGCTGCCGGGGGAACCTTTCCTGGAACAAAATAGAAAATAGAAAATAGAAAATAAATTAAGAATATTGATCATAAAACATTTCTGATATGTATATCTTAATTAGTAAAAAATGTAATATGAAACATATAATTCTTGTAGTTTATTAAATATTTGGTTTCATGATGAACCCTATAGTTAAACAATAAACTTGAGGCATTATGTAAGGTTTAACCTTGTTAATAAAATATTGAAAACGTTTCTACTCTCCATTAATGCCCATCCCCAACATTTCTCTTCCCTTTCATTACTCTTACCCCTTGCTTCTACCATCCATCCCATTCATATCTTTAGCGCACGTGGATTTAACGGTTCTGTCAATATTTCATAAAGCTGTGACTTCCGATCACAATTTGACCCCTTATACATAACTTTATAGCCTTTCTTCTTAAATAATTTTTTGTTTATTGCATATACATTTTGAATGAAAAAGTATAAAATAAACAAATCTGTAAGTTTAAATATTGTTGAAATATAGACGAAAAAACGTTTAATTTCAAATAAAAGAAACAGGATGCTTCTCTCTGTGGTTAGTTCAGGGTGAGAGGCAACTGGTACCTCCCCCTTCTAGCCCCCCCCTCGCCACACACCCCACCATCACCCATCCCACCCTCCCATACGGCATCCCCCTCCTAAATGCATTTGAAAACTATGGGGGATGGGGCAAAGATATTAATCCCCCCCCCCTTCCCTTTATTAAACGTCTTGTAGTTTATTGTGAATAATCCCAATCATCTATGGATTAAGTAAATTAAAATAACATTTCTGAATAAACCAATATGAATTGCACTTCTAAGCCATCTTTTATTTTAACTTTAATTTGTCCCTTTTTTCTATTGAAGCCAAAAATCTGTTTCGCTAGAAAAAAATATTAGATAAAATTGAAAAAAGTAATAAACGATAAATTAAATTAATAAATCTATCTAGGACTTAATGGAAAGTTTTGATTGACATCATTTCGACTTGTTAATGCAATCAGCAGTCGGAACTTTTGTTCCTGGATTATCCCTAATCTTGAAACGTTTGTTTTTGATTTTAAATTTGAGAATAAACGCGCTAAAAAAGAATTTTCACCAAGAGATATCGAAAAGGAATTAAATTAATCCAAAGGTCTGCATAAAGTATAGATCAATACATGTCCTAGATATTTACAACACAAAATATCTGATTTCCGTTTAGCAATGCAGCTTTTACCAAAATGCACATTTTCCGAACTTTCCCCTCAAATGATTACTCTCAATTGGCCTGTAACCAAAGGTTAACTTAGAAAATTTCTGTAGTGAGGCGTATACAGGGATGGGTGCTGAAGAAGTAAAAACTTTGAGCCATGGAGATTCAGTCTTTAACGACGCTGACTTACCCCCTCCTGTTATTTCAAAGTCGGTAAAGCCCACTTGGACAAATTCCTTTGTGTACGTCCCGGACAGTCTATGAATGTTTAAAATGCAAAATCCCCTTAGAATATTGTCACTTGGGAAATAGTTCTAAGAAAAGTATTCAACATAAATTGTGGATTTTAGTTAGATCAAATATTTCTATATTTACCCGTTTGAAGACACTACCCATTGTACCAAAGAACCCTTTAGCACTTTTGCCTCCAAACTCAGACTAAACAGAAATTTTTTATTTTTATTTTTATTGAAAATTTGATTTGTTTTTTTTCCTATTCGTACGTAGAGGCCTGTTGACAACACTGCTTTGGCTTACCACACAAAAATATCCCAATTAGATATTTTGATATCAGGATTTAACGGTTTTGTATTTAAAACAATTCCTGAAATCAGAACTTTTTTGTTGTGAATCTTGGAGTCAAAGTGCCAACATTGGATATTGAGATCAAAAGTTCAAAATTGCAGAAGGATACTCCAGCACAAAAGTTCCGCTGTCGGAACAATTTACACAGAATGTAGATTTTGTAGGTTTCTAATTGATTAACAAACCTTTTATAGTTTTATAATGATACATAAAACCTAGATCTCATGCAATTCATTAAATTGTTCATATGGTTAATCATCATAATCTGAAAATTGCATGCTAATATATAATACTTTATATATTATCCATATTTACAGTTTTAAAGAAAGAAAAAAAAACAATTACATATACATCTCTGTCTGGTGTAATCCCATGGGATATTTATATTGCCTACGTGTCAGTGTTTATGTTTAATATAAACCCCATCTAATAATTCGGAATCTCTTTTTGCGTGACTGCAGTAACAGAGATATAATTAAATATTTTTATTAAATTCTAAGAAAACTGTTTTCTCGCATTTTAGTCGCAATTTTTTTCATCCTTGAAAGTTTTCGTTTCTGCACTTCAAACTAAACAGAAGAAAAGTCAAATGTATGCGACTTTGTGACCTCGTAGCTCTTTTAGCTTTTTGATTGAAAACATTTCGATCTTTCTGCATTTTATAGTACAACGTTTGACGTGATTGAATTTGATATCCATTCCCCAACGAGCGTGGGAAAATATTCCACGGATTGAATAATTGTGAGTCAATCTAGTCAATTACTGATAAAACACTACTGATTATGAGATGACGTTCATTGATTGAATAATTGTGAGTCAATCTAGTCAATTACTGATAAAACACTACTGATTATAAGATGACGTTCATTGATTGAATAATAGTGAGTCAATCTAGTCAATTACTGATAAAACACTACTGACTATAAGATGACGTTCATTGATTGAATAATTGTGATTCAATCTAGTCAATTACTGATAAAACACTACTGACTATAAGATGACGTTCATTGATTGAATAATTGTGAGTCAATCTAGTCAATTACTGATAAAACACTACTGACTATAAGATGACGTTCATTGATTGTGTGTAATTTTCTGACTTGTCTTCAGGATCATTTGTAGCTTTTTATTTAACTTTTCTAAAGTGCATTTTAGAAACATTTTACAAGAAAATACGTCAATTTTGCTGCATTTGTAAATCTATGTGTTTACGAACATTTATAGAATAATTACCGTGTGTACTGAAGAAAAAAATTATACAATGTTACAACAGGACAGACAATTTATTTACTGAGGGTAGTCGTTAAAAAACTAAATTCTAATGTTTTGTCAGATTTTTGGTTTTGTTTTCCTGTAAAGTAATAAAAATGACGTGGTAGGCCATGGTGCAAACAAAAAAGTTAATTTTTTTTGTCCATTTTAGGTTTTTAAACAAAAAAATCTTATTTACAGAACAAGAACAGAGCCTTTCGTCCAATATTCTTCATTTCATTCGTTCAATATTCTTCATTTCATAATATAATCAATACGTCTGTATCACATGATCAGAACTCCAACCAATGGCAGTGCAGTATTATTGTCATGTGTCTCCGTCTGTAATTATAACTCTTGCAAGTCTCGATCAACTCTTAAAATTCTCAGGTTTCAGTCTAAACCCCTTTCATTTTTCTTTTATAGTCTCTTTAAAGGTGTTCTAAAGAATCATTATACAAAATTGTTTATCAGCCCAAAGATGTGAACGAAAACGATTTTTAAAAACAATTTACCTATCGTTTTGAAAACCGGGTTGGTTGATAGAGTAAACTTATCGAGCATACAATTTTGAAATAGATCATACATCTCAGATCTTTGTAAAAATCAACAAATAAATCATTTCCAATTCAGCCCCCCCCCCCGGAAAAAAAAACCCTGAGCTTTGAAAAATCTCTTCTCTCTCCTTTTTTAATCTAGCTTTGCTCTGTATTCGCACTGTTCTATTGAACAAATAATAATCATAATAAAACCTTCATTTTTACAGTTTATATAAATTATACTTTTCATTATGTTTACTTACCATTTTCTGGCGACCAATACCCTCCATAGTTGGTCCATAGCTGGGATAGATGGGCCTGTAGGTTAGATATCTCGGGGCCCACTTGGAAGGGTCCCCATCCCGCCATCCCTTATCCATTATGCAATCAGTATATGAAGGGCTAACCTTCAGAAGGCTAATTGGGGGCTGGGTAACCAGTTCACATTTTCTAAATCTACATTATTTCTATACCCTAAAATCTACAGTTTGGAGAGGCCCCTTGATTATATGAATATTATTTTTAACATCATTACGAAATTTTTTCGAAATTTTTGAAATCATGGCTTTCAAAATTCTTACAGCTGTTTCAGATAAGTAAATTTTTTAAACAATAGTTACAGCACATTTAATACCGTATACATTTTGTTATAATCTTTTATACATTTGTTTATTTTTAATTTTGATTTCATGAGATGCACAACAAAATAGAAAGCATGGTGCAAACGTAATTATTAACATTAAAAAAAAATTTTAAGGAGTTTTCACTGGACCATATTAACGATATGAAAGCACTTTAACCATATGATTGTTTAACATTAACGTTAGCGTTAATATTTAACATTTTTTCTTTGAGAATTAAACATTTTTGAATCTAGAAAAACATGGATAATTTCCACCATATATATTGATCAGATAAAGGTTTAAAAGGCATTTTTGTGAATTTGAAAATGTTTTTTTTAAAGGAAATTTCAACATCAGTTCCTTAGTGTTGCCGCAGATCTTGATTATATCCGTGATGGTGTTTCACGATTTATTTTTGAAGATTAAAACTGTTTAAAAAGAAAAAAACAAGTTTCAAGAGTAGATAACTAAATTAGAATTAATAGAGAATCTAAGTATTTATTCATTAATTTTAAAACTTAAATCTCTGCAGACAAAATTGATACTCCAATCCTTGTGAGTTATTGTTTAGGCGTTGTTTTATTTTGGAATTAAATGTAGGATCTTTATCCACTATTGTAGGTTTCAAAGAACAAACCACCCGATATGTGATAACCAAAAAACAATGGAAAAGGAATACGACAGTATATCAATACTAAGTGTATTTGATGGTATTACCAAGCAAATAGGTTTACTAAACACTTATTTAATCACTAGTTTAGTTAAATGGGTCTGTTTACACTACACAATTGCTGTTTCTCGTGCTTATTAGACTTTTAAAATGTATAAGTTAATTCTAAAATACGTCTTCCTATTTAGGAGTTTTCTGGTTTTCACTGTAACAGTTTGTTATTTAATTTTACTGATTTGTTCCTTGGCTGAAGCTAGAGTACAGAGTAATATAACTGAGAGACAGGGTATACGCATTATCTAAACAATAATCAAAATATAATCAAAATATAATCAAAAAATGTATTAAATATTGATGATACATGTAATAAGATTTCTTTAGTAGTTAATCAACGAGGGTTCATATTATTACATACGGAGTCAAAGGAATTGAGTCTTTGTCACAAACTCTGATTTTCTAATCACTATATCTTTGGAACCAAATGTTGCATACCTTAGATATTTCAAACTATGAATTCTGTTAGATCAAATCATCTGAGTTTGAAATATCAAAGGTTTACAACATCGAGTTCTAAAGATATTGTGGTTTAAATATTTGATTTTGTTCCAAAGACTCAATTCCTTTTGTTAAGCAAAACAGAGCCTTAACTTTGAAGGGTGCAACGAAACCCCCACTTCTTCAATATATCATGGAAGAAAAAAAAATGAATGCTAAACGATCCTTTCTGATCTGAATGATTTTTTTGGAATAGCTGTCTTCACGTTGAAACGTAGAAACTTGGCGTTTGATTACGTTTGCCACAAATTTTAAATTTTCTTGGTTTAAAAGTTTTAAATTGAGTGGGTTTACTTTTACGGCAAAAATTTAGTTTCCAAACAAGAAAGGGTAATCAAAAATGTGTATATAAATGTGTAGACATCTCTGTTTGTTTGTTTGGATGTCCGAGCAAGACTCCATGAATTCCTGGATCAATTTAGATTCGGGAACTCGGTAAAACTAAAGAATTTTCTCAAATCTTGGTTTAAAAATTCTAAATTTAGTGGGTTGACTTTCAAATAGAAAAACTCCAGGCCTAGCTGGATTCCCAAGCTAGTATGTTTAACAAGCTCATTTAGGAGTGTTCTCCTAGATCCTAAAAGTTCTTTTCTCATAAAGACATTTAATGAAAGCATAAAATACTTATATGAAAAATCTTCTGAAAATGAGTTTTTGTCACAAACAGTGATTTTCTAATCTTAGTATATCTTTGCAACCCAATCTCGTAGAACATATATTTTTAACTGTTAGAGTTTTGTTATAGATCAAATAATCTAGTTTTAAACCCATCAGGATGCAAAAATATAGGGATAAGAAATTTGAGTTTGTGGAAAAGTATCTAGTTTTTGTGTCAACAGGGGGATCTCTTTTAGGACAAAAGAATTCAAAAGTCTGGTTAAAAATAGTTAGAAATTGCTCTAGACAGTGTAGATATTTTTATTAAAATCTTTAAATGAATTAAGTTGAATATGAAAAGTTTGACAAAGCTTTAAAATATATTACAAATCAAATATCTAACGAAATCTAAGACATTTAATGAAATCAAAGAAATTTTAATTTTAAATTTAATTTTAGGAATATAAGAAATAAATACAAGAAATATACATTATACTTGCATAAATAAATATGAAAATTAAGAATTTTTTTTTATTCCTTTGTGAAATCCAAGAAATTTTTTGAATCCGGGAAATTTAAAAAAGTCTTAAATATCCAAGAAATCTTAGAAATCTTGGAAATCTGTGAAAGTTAGGCAGTCTGAGAAGTCTATGTAATCTATGAAATGAAATCTATGAAATCTTTGAAATCTATGAATTTTAGGAAATATTATAGTGTTTGGGAAATAATTTCTTAAACAATTAAAGACGACATTTTTCTCTTAACAGTACCCGCTCTACCATTGATATTCAATTCTGAACTTTGCCAAATTTTATTACAAGCTTCTTCTAAAGAAAATATAAAATTGAATTTGAAAATTTGAAAACAAATCGGAGAAAGAAAATTAGTTTCTGTTTTGGTTCAAGTTTCTAAAAATATTTTGTTCGCAAAAAAATGCATGATTTACAGATTTTTCCATTTTATAATTTTTTTTTAAATATGACGTCTAATAAATCTTGCATAAAAACGTAAATAATGTTTTATTCATATTATTTCTACGTATAGCATTTTTTCACTTTAAATTCTCCATTGTCTGTGAAATTGAGAACATGGTTCGATTTATTTTAGAGTTTTGTCATTAATCTTGAAAGTAGTACACGACTGCAGTATATGTAAAGTCTAGAGGGGGGGGGGGGTGTATTTTAAATCTTTGATCCCCCTTTTAGTTTTTACATACAGCGCTTTTTTATCGAAATCATCGCGCTGGAGTTTCCGTACATTTATGAAAAAATGATTTGGATTTTTAACAACCTTTTTTATGTTCTTATAGTGTTGTGTGGTCTTAGATTTTTATTTTTGAAAACCCCTAGAAAGTACCTTCAGACATGTCACATTTTCTCATATCAAATTTTTTTTTTAATCTTACATTTTATATTTTTACGACGTATTTTTTGCTATTTTTTTTTTACTTTCAGAAGCACCTTAACTTAGAGTTTTGAAATTTAAAAAGAGAGCTGGCCTTGAACAATTGTTATATGAAATTGCATATTTTGATTCAAAACAAACCTTTTTCAGAGATTGGGGGGAGGTTGCACAGGATTGCCCCCCCCCCCGACTTTGCTTATATCTTTGCTTATCTCTCCCCCCTCAATTTTCTCACACATGAAAACCTCATCAAGAAACATATCAATTCCTTGATTAAAAAAGAAAAAGTTAATTATTCATATTTTATGCACAAATACAAAAATTTTCAATTCTACTCTTGGGTCTTTTGCGTAACATTAGTAGTTTCTTTAGAGGACAAAGTCGTACAGCTATTCTTGGTAAATTGTTAACTTTGGGTAGCTTCAGTGGCCCCTGTTGTGCATGTTTAAAGCCTGCCTAATCTAGCTAGATCAAAACTTTAATTTGATTTTTTGTTTGTTATTCCAATATCCGCGCAACTTTACGGTTCGGTATTTTATATTAAATTATATTCCATTTGTACAATGTTCAATGCAAGGTTCTAATGCAAGGAAAGTTAATTGCGGTCGTGTATACTCTGCGTACATATTGAAACCAGTTCTCTTTGGGTGGAATTTGTAAACAAGAATAGATACATCAGAGTTCGTTTATTATCCGAGGAGGTTAATAGCATTTAATTGTGATAATTTTGAAAATTCACATAATAGTTTTTCTCTGACCAGAATATTTCATAGAGCATTTTTGTGAAAATTGATTCCATGTCAGGCTGTGACATCCATCTTGTGTTTACTTTTCCGCCCAAAGACAGTTAAATGCAGTACAAAAAGTGAGTACAACTCTGAAATAACTTTCCTTGCATTATAACCTTGGTTCAATGTACACTTTTCATTGCAATCATTTTCTTCATTCCAAATCCATTCAACATGAATATACACAGGGAAGGAACTTTATGATATTCATGCAATCAGAAATTGCAAATTTGACTGGGAATGCTATACTTTTACATGAGCATGACTCAAATAATGACAAACCTTTTCTCTATTTAGATCCGCCATTTAAAAGTTTTCATTTTAGATTAAAATTGTTATGTACAGGGTTACCCAGAAAAGACTGGACTGTAAAGACAACTGGAAACTCTTAAATTACGACAAACCTACGGATTCATTAAGTTTTCAGCCTGGAATGATTATACTCTTTAATATGGATTATTTAATGATTTGCCAAAGAAATAAACAAGTTAGCTGCTAGTTGCAAGAAATCTAAAATTGTATGGAAGAGGCAATATAAATTCTGTACAGTCGTCTCTAGAGTCTCATTCTGTTTGGGTAACCCTGTATTTCAATTTTAAGCAGTAAGAGAAAGTTGTGTAAGGATGAGACTCCAGAATTCTAAAAAGACTTTAATCTTTAAAGACGTAAAAGCTAACGAAATTCCATATACAGACTCAAAATATAAATCGATATTTGGTTTTTGAAAATGTAATTTAAGCATTAATGTTTTATTTAGTGCCAGTGCCACTTCAACGCGTCTTAAAATCATCAGATATGTTTCGGAATATTTTTATAAATATTTGATATTTTTTTTTCTAAATACTTCAGCAATAACTTATTGTAGATATACATTACATATACCACACAAAGAACATTGTTGATTGGTTTGATTTAATCTTACAAACGTCAAAACGGCTGAGCTAATCGAGCCAAAACATTTAGTGGAAGTCACGTGGTACCGAATTTTGAAAAGTCCTAAAAAAATGAAAAATTCTGCGTTTTGTTTTAACTTATACAAGAAAAAAGCTGGAAGGTAAAATTACTTCAAAAAAAAACACTCTGGAAACCATTGGGTTTGTAATTATTATCAAATCTTATCAGCTAAGAAACATAATTTTGAGCTAGTTTGGGAGTTTTGAGGTAAAAGTATTAAAAGAGGGTTAACTGTTGATAAACTTTAAACAGAAAATCAATGGAAACTTTTTATGACGCCCCCCAAATAATCATTCCAATAGTTAACTTTCATATCCTGAGGTAAAATTTTACCTCTTATAACAACAAGGATTGAGCTGTTTTAAATACTAATTTTTTAACAATAAAATTTTCAAGTCGGGTCAATACAGTACAGTGGTCTTATTGGTAAGTGCTCAGTTAACATCAAATTATTTACGTGATGTTATGGATATTATATTAACTGATTTAATTAAAGCGTCTAATATTCTTAAATTGTAAATAATAGGCGAGTTTGAGTACGAAACCACATACAGTATTGTACATAATATTACCTGTACTGCTGTACTTTACATAATATTACCTGTACTGCTGTATTGTACATAATATTACCTGTACTGCTGTATTGTACATAACATTACCTGTACTGCTGTATTGTACATAATATTACCTGTACTGCTGTATTGTACATAATATAACCTGTACTGCTGTATTGTACATAATATTACCTGTACTGCTGTATTGTACATAATATTACCTGTACTGCTGTATTGCTGGTTCTATGGCCTGTAAATTGAATCTGAGAATATGAGTTGGTTTCAGGTTTATATCTCTTCTTACTCCGGGTCCGAGGTTTAACAGGGAAACCACGGCTCATGAGTTATACCAAGAGAAATCGACTCTTCTCCGACATTCATTCTCCAGATACGTCATTCATATCAGCGCGCATTCACCATAACACGTTAATTGGAAATACCAATATTTCATCGTAAAAAAGAAAATTTTCAAAATCCTAAATCAAAACCTAAAATCTGACGGCTACTTTATCTTATATCCAAGATATATTATATGCAGGGTGTTCCTCCCCCAAAAAGCAGTCTACGATAGTTTTACATTTTCTAAATATAAATAATATTTCCGATCGATGAATGGACCCAAATTAGAAGTTTGGCTTGGTTGAAAATTGATATTGAGTCTAAAAGTGAAAGAAAACCCGTCTTTTTATTTGCTTTCACATTTATTTATTGAAATGTAAGAATAACATACACCAAATATATTAAAATATATAACAATTTGACATAAATAAATTTGCTTCCCCTTATATACATTATTATACATTTCGCAGCGATTGTTCTTATACCTAGTTTCCATCGAATTCAATAATTTTATTCCTTAAGTTTGGGGGTATATAACCCTAGGTTTTTAGATTTTTTTCTCAATTAAAACCCTTATGAAATCACATAACAGTGACACAAACAAAGTCCATCGATCAGAAATATTTTTCAAATTTCGAAAATGTCCAAAAAAATGTAAAAAAATCTAATTATCATAACTCTAGTATCTAAATAATCTTTTTTTGAGATACCATTAATCATTATGTAATTCAAGGGCGGCTATAGGATTTAAGATTGGGGGCGGGGCGTCTTACCCCTAAAAAAATTACACTTAACCCTACAAAAATTACAATTTGTTTATATTACAGGGTAGGCAAATGTCTTCTTTTACATTTATTTTTGAATATTTCGTTTAAAAATGTTATTACAAAACTGTAAAAATAATCACACAATAGCGGATTCTGGTTTTTTGATATCTCCATTTTTATCTTTCTTGCTTTGCATCATTGACGTCAAATGTTGGCTAATTTTGAAAAAAGAAAATCCATTTATTTATCAAAAAAAGGAATAATCATTTTTTATTTCCTGAAAGTAAATAAGGGAATTTTTGTTAAAATAAAAAAAATTAAAAATATCATCCTTTCATCCAATCTACAATAATTTAGCTTTTTTTGCCAGCTTGAATTATAGGCATTTAAAACACTGATGTCCGAAATTAAAACAAGCCTCTTTGGGTGCATCGCCATTCTTTCTAGGTTGACCAACCTGTCAGTGGTAATAGATGACCTGTTTAATCAGAGCATTAAGCAATATTTGCATCACAAAGATTCAGTAAAAACTTGATACGTTATATGCCGAGTACAGCATAGCGGAAAACTTTGGTTATCATGGATGTATTTTATGTTTTTCATGCGCTTTTTAATTTTAAGCAGCATTTACAAAAAGCATTTTTCGATGAAATTAAAACTGACTATAGCAAATGGCTATTTGTGGCCGAAAAACCAGTTATACCAGTGATTTTTCAATTTTTTCAAAATGTGTCGATATGGGTATTAAAAAATCTGCCTTGCAAAGCCTAACTCTACGCATTAGCGATTGTCAATCTTAATTTTAGCGAAAAAGTCTTTTGTAAATGTTTCTTAAAATTAAAAAATTATTAGTAATTACTACTTGAAATGATTCTTCTCTAATCTGTGAAATATCTTTCACCCTAAATAAATATGTTTATTTTTACAATGTTGTCACTTTCAAGTAAACTGTCATACATGAATAAAAATTACAGTTTAAATGAGAAATGCCTTTGTAAAAAACCAGGGGGGGGGGTAATGGACTGCCCCCCTGAAACCGCCTATGTTATGTATATTATATATATGTATATAAGTTGCATGATTTCTTTTACATTAGTATTTACATAGGAATGTTTCATTAACGATCTACAGGAATGTTCAGAGCTTGATTTAAAAAAAAAGTTGATTCGCTTGAATGATGTCAAAGACCGTCCTTCATTTTAATCGCATTTGTTTTCGCATACGATCTTATCTTTTGAATGATTGTATCCTCTATCATTCACAAAATTACAAAGTTTCAATAGAATACAATCTAAGAACTTCAATTTTTTATACCAAATCTGTAATTTGTAATAGGATAGGGCCAGTGTGCATGGCAAGTTTCCAGACAAAGCTGGGTACACAGACTTGTATTAAATATAAACTGAGAAGAGACCCTATATACATTCCTACTGCTAATTAATCGTATACAAATAGTTAATGCATTGTATTACTGTATAAATACAGTTTATTTATATTTCTGGCTTGCATGATATCAAGCAATACAGGTGTATGTTTACAGGGTGATCCAGGAAAATTTGACATTTAGAGGAATTTTATGTCTTGTGTCACAATTTTTTATCATTCCAGAGGTAGTTCCTTCCATAAACTTCATTGGTTGACAACTTGACGTCTCCTATATTGGTCGCCAAATGTACGGATAAATATCTATCTATCAGATAAGAATTTAGCATGAGACATCTAGCGGCCAACATATCGTCCCCCAAAGTACGTGAAATACACGACCACTTTCTATGGAGAGAACGGGCTCAGTAAAATTTGTGCTTAAGGCAGAAACCCAAATTAAATCTTCCGAGTTCGGAATTAAACTCGTATACTATAGTGTCACCGAGAGTGCACTCAAGAAGTAAATCAACTAATTATATGCAGTTTGAATAGTTCTCACGATTCATTAAATTAGACCTCAAACATTTCTTAAAAAATAATTTAAGTTTAACGTTCCATGTGTTGAAAACATACAGACAGGGTGGCGTTATCTTTTTAACATAATCGTCGTTTGTGAATTAAACATATTTTAAGGTTTTTATATATTTTTGTTTCGATTTTAAACTAGTTTAGTATAAATATGCTTTGAAGAGAGTAATGCATAGTTGAAATAATCCTTTTTATTTTATCAGCGAAAAATGTTGAGGGAAGAAATAGAAAGATGAACTTAAGCGACCATTTCAACAGGAATTGAAATTGTCAAAATTTGTGGTAAAGGTTTCATCCTCTTCTTATAAAATGCTGGACAGAAGTAATGTGGATATGAAGGGCTGGTGTGTAGAAGATTTCCTATACGTCCGTTTTATTTATAGCTATTGGGATAAAGGAACAGAATTTCTTTTATAAAAAGAATTGAAGAAAAATGAAGATCGGAACAATTCCTGGATATAAATTGGAAATCCAGTTTCAGAGATCACCTTGTTAAACTTGATGGGTTCTAGGAGAGGGCTCAGAGGATACTGATAATAGAGTTATCAGAAATATTCCAGGAGGGGGCTCAGAGGATACTGATAATAGTTATCAGATATATTCCAGGAAGGGGCTCAGAGGATTGAAATAGAGTTCCCATTAAAATTCCAGGGGTGGGCTCATAGAACAGAGGCGGATAAAGGGGAGGCGGCAAGACCTTCGCATCCCCCTGAGATCTCAGAATAGCTACTCAATAGCACTAAAGGGGAAAAAACCTAGTGCAACAGGAAATTATCGATCTTTAAAAATATTTTCGCCAGCGGGACCTTTTTTCCTAATTTTTAGTTCCGAAATAAATCTAGCGCCCCACGCACTTGAATCCTGTATCAGCCCCTGTCAGAGAATACAGATAATAGAGTCAGGGGTCTCAGAGGATACATAGAATAGAGTTCCCAGAAATATTCCAGGAGGGAATCATACAAAAAATATAGTTCACATAAATTTCAGGAGGGTGCTCAGAGGATACAGAGAATAGAGCTCCCAGAAATATTCCAGGAGGGGCTCAGAGGATACAAATAATAGAGTTCCCAGATATATTCTAGGAAAGGCTCAGAGGATATAGATTATCGAGTCCCCAGAAATATTACAAAGTCTCCAGAAATATCGTTATGCTTAAGGTAAATTAAACAAAGGTAGACCATGATTTAGAAAACTGAAGGTTTCCTAAAAAATTCATAATCACTGAAATGAACGATTTACATTTAGGTCATTCCCATTTTAAAACGCATGCCTCTAACAACAAAACAATGCATCAAAATAATGATAAAAATACTTTATTTGGTATTTAGGGTAACACAAATTTATTATTTGTTTACAAAAATATCAAAACAATTTTCAGAGATGAGAAAAGAACTAGTTCAGAAGTCTACGTGACTAAATGCAATTTAGAAAACTGTAACAGTGCCATTTTTGTAGCTCCTTTAGTATCTTCACCATGCAAATACCCAAAATACAATACAAATAAAATACTAAAAATGAACGAATTGTTTTGGATCCTGAATTTGAATTTGCTGCATATGCTGCCGTTTCAGACTCGTTTTAACAGTTTTCATTGGCTCAAAACTTTATATTAAACAAAAATATTTTCATTGGCTCAAAACTTTATATTAAACAAAAATATTTTCATTGACTCAAAACTTTATATTAAACAAAAATATTTTCATTGGCTCAAACTTTATATTAAACAAAAATATTTTCACTGGCTCAAACTTTATATTAAACAAAAATATTTTCATTGGCTCAAAACTTTATATTAAACAAAAATATGCAACTTCGAAATTGAATATAATTTACAAAATAAGGTCGTTTCCTTGAATTTTAGTAAACATATTAATATTGGATATATTTCTTAAACATATTCAACATAAAGATGAACCGAAAATCAGTTTGGGAGGGGTTCCTGTGGGTATTTTTCCGTGTTGATCTAGTTTGTTTCTTAACTTCGTTCTCACTTCAGAAGTAGTATCTTCGATCGTTGAAATACCTAAATCAGAATCAGAATCAGAATCAGAATCAGAATCAGAATCAGAATCAGAATCAGAATCAGAATCAGAATCAGAATCAAAAACAAAATCAAAACCCAGGTCTCTGGAAACACATTTCTGACTTTCAGGGACAAGATTGATTGTGATATTAGAATAAAACTAAGCTTTTTTTGTGTATTTCTAAACAGTGGAACAACAATCCTTTTTTTAAACTTCAAAATCAAATGAAATTGCATCACATTGCAAAACAATTTCACTAGGGTTAATCTCATTGAACAAACCAATAATTATTACAACCTTCTTGTATTAAATCATATTATGAAAAGGTTTCTGTTAACAGTTTATTTTCATCAATATTGCCAGTCTCGAATTAAACTTGAGTGTGAAACTTATAAGTGAGACAAGAAAAGATTAGACAATTCCAAGAGTTTAGAGAAATGTTAAAGATATGTTTCTTACAACAGATAAAAATTATTTAAATTTGCATAAATCTTATTAGTTCTCATATTATGTGTACTCTAAACTGAGAAATTCAGAAATTAGCAAAACGTTTAGATTCATAACTCTTTCGCCGCGACTAACCTCTGGAAGATAAACTGGAACAGATCGTCGTATGAAAACCTTTCGTAATCATCGTAATCTTCGTAATCATCATCATCGTCGTCGTCGTCTCCGCAATCCCCACAACAGTCCTCACAGTAGTGCTAAAATAGATCAACTGTTATTATTCCAGATTCAGAACACCAACTTTTCCCCTTATTGCACCGTTTTCAGTCAAAATATTTGGCATGCTTTCTATTCAATATTGTGCATTAATCGCCATTTTTAATTTGTGAATAAAGACGATTTTGCGTATGAAAAATTTCCCGCATTTTTGAGAACCTTTGGAAACCCCAATTTCGACCTAAAATTAGAAAACTCATTTCACTTTTTATATTCTTTTTTAACTTTAATAATTTATTTTAATTAAATTTTACAATATTTTTAAATTTCAATATGATTTCACTTTTTATATTAAGAAACCAACCATAAGAAAACACTTTTATACTTGAGAGCAGAACCTTTTATATTTTTAATAAATTAGGTTTGATAATATATATACTTTATACATTAACGTAAAAGGGGAAACTACATTATCGAAAATGTTCATTTCTTTTTTGCAACAGCAAAATAAAAATTACGTGGCTAATTGGAAGAGAAAATAATTTTTAAAAAATCTAAAAATCAAAACTCATAAAATAGTTAACGAACAAAATAACATGATCATAAGATCGATTCTTCCATGTTTAAAATTTAACTGATTATTTTAGTTTCTCTACAAAAGTGACTTGCCCATTTCTAATGCAGGAAATCAAAAACAAAATTATTAGAATTAAATAATTTTAAACCTAGAAAACAATATTTTCCACATTATTGATCAAATGAACGTTACAAAGGTACCGTTGTGAATCGGAATTGTCACTTAAAATTACGTTACATTATCTTTTTTTAGCGTCTTCCTGTTATTTATTTACTTATATAATTTAGCTCCTTGGATCAGGGTAGCTAAATTATTAAAGGCTCTAGAATTAGAATTTAAGATTAAGAATTTGACCCTATTATAGGTATATCTGACCCTATTAATGGTATATTTGACCCTATTAAAGGTATATTTCACCCTTTTAAGATATATTCGACCCTATCAGAGGTATATTTGACCCTACTAAAGGTATATTTGACCCTATTAAGGATATATTCGACCCTATTAAAGGTATATTTCATTGAACAAACCAATAATTATTACAACCTTCTTGTATTAAATCATATTATGAAAAGGTTTCTGTTAACAGTTTATTTTCATCAATATTGCCAGTCTCGAATTAAACTTGAGTGTGAAACTTATAAGTGAGACAAGATTAGACAATTCCAAGAGTTTAGAGAAATGTTAAAGATATGTTTCTTACAACAGATAAAAATTATTTAAATTTGCATAAATCTTATTAGTTCTCATATTATGTGTACTCTAAACTGAGAAATTCAGAAATTAGCAAAACGTTTAGATTCATAACTCTTTCGCCGCGACTAACCTCTGGAAGATAAACTGGAACAGATCGTCGTATGAAAACCTTTCGTAATCATCGTAATCTTCGTAATCATCATCATCGTCGTCGTCGTCTCCGCAATCCCCACAACAGTCCTCACAGTAGTGCTAAAATAGATCAACTGTTATTATTCCAGATTCAGAACACCAACTTTTCCCCTTATTGCACCGTTTTCAGTCAAAATATTTGGCATGCTTTCTATTCAATATTGTGCATTAATCGCCATTTTTAATTTGTGAATAAAGACGATTTTGCGTATGAAAAATTTCCCGCATTTTTGAGAACCTTTGGAAACCCCAATTTCGACCTAAAATTAGAAAACTCATTTCACTTTTTATATTCTTTTTTAACTTTAATAATTTATTTTAATTAAATTTTACAATATTTTTAAATTTCAATATGATTTCACTTTTTATATTAAGAAACCAACCATAAGAAAACACTTTTATACTTGAGAGCAGAACCTTTTATATTTTTAATAAATTAGGTTTGATAATATATATACTTTATACATTAACGTAAAAGGGGAAACTACATTATCGAAAATGTTCATTTCTTTTTTGCAACAGCAAAATAAAAATTACGTGGCTAATTGGAAGAGAAAATAATTTTTAAAAAATCTAAAAATCAAAACTCATAAAATAGTTAACGAACAAAATAACATGATCATAAGATCGATTCTTCCATGTTTAAAATTTAACTGATTATTTTAGTTTCTCTACAAAAGTGACTTGCCCATTTCTAATGCAGGAAATCAAAAACAAAATTATTAGAATTAAATAATTTTAAACCTAGAAAACAATATTTTCCACATTATTGATCAAATGAACGTTACAAAGGTACCGTTGTGAATCGGAATTGTCACTTAAAATTACGTTACATTATCTTTTTTTAGCGTCTTCCTGTTATTTATTTACTTATATAATTTAGCTCCTTGGATCAGGGTAGCTAAATTATTAAAGGCTCTAGAATTAGAATTTAAGATTAAGAATTTGACCCTATTATAGGTATATCTGACCCTATTAATGGTATATTTGACCCTATTAAAGGTATATTTCACCCTTTTAAGATATATTCGACCCTATCAGAGGTATATTTGACCCTACTAAAGGTATATTTGACCCTATTAAGGATATATTCGACCCTATTAAAGGTATATTCGACCCTATTAAAGGTATATTTGACCCTATTAAGGATATATTTGACCCTATTAAGGGCATATTTGACCTTATTAAAGGTATATTTGACCCTATTAAAGGTATATCTGACCCTATTTGTATAATTAACCCTTTAAAGGTATATTCGACCCTATTAAAGGTATATTTGACCCTATTAAAGGTTTATTTGACCCTATTTAGGATATATTGGACCCTATTAAAGGTATATTTGATCCTATTTAAGAAATATTTGACCCTATAAAAGGTATATTTGACCCTTTTAAGGTATATTTGACCCTATTAAAGGTATATTTGACCCTATTAAAGGAATATTTGACCTTAAAAAAGGTATACCTGACCATATTAAAGGTATATTTAATCATATTAAAGGTATATTTGATCCTTTAAGAAATATTTGACCCTATAAAAGGTATATTTGACCCTTTTAAGGTATATTTGACCCTATTAAAGGTATATTTGACCCTATTAAAGGAATATTTGACCCTATTTAAGGTATTTTTGACCCTATTAAAGGTATTTTTGACCCTCTTAAAGCTTACCTGGTTGTATCCCCTCAACTTCCTATCATGCAGTCTTCTCCTAAACAATGAAATATTTGAACTTTTGACTTATATTGAAAAGTTCTGAAAATAATAAATGTGTAACTCATTTTGATTAAAAAATATTTATGATTGAGATAAACGATCGATACATGAAATCATTGATCTAACAGGAGCCATTTTATCATTTTGTTGTCAGTATTTACCCAGGCGATAAACGTTATTAATGATAGAAAACATTGATAGTTCAGGAGTAGTAGACCTTAAATTTGTTTACCCTTTAAAGATCTTAATGATTAAGAATGATAGACTTTTCTTTTCTTCTCAACACAACATTGTTTGCAAGCAATTTTATAATTAAGAAAAATCATTTTTTTCTTTACATTGGAATTTTTGAAATTTGAGAAATGTTTGTTAAAGACCGATAAAGATGAGGGACTGAACTCGGGGAACCCATAGTCATATATCCGCCTATACAATATACATTCAATTTATGAAATAAATTGTTCGGGGAAGGTATAGCCATTCAAATGATTTGTCACAGATATAAAACAAAATGTTCACACTTTGATCTCATCAGGAATCATAAAACTTGTTTTCCCGACCTTTCCGGATCTGAGAGAACGTGGTAGGCCTGGGCGATCTCCTTCATCTTCTTCTCTAACTTCTAAAATGTAAAATACATGTTAATAATGTTGACGTTGTTGCAACATTTAACAAAAAAAAAACGCATTTTGTTGTCAAAAAAAAAAATGAATGCCATTCCATGATGCTATTGTTATTATCGATTTATATTTTGAAGACAAAGTGGAAGGTAAAGAAGTTTACCTGAATCCGGATTAAAATAGTGATCCGGATCCAGGGAGCTGAATAAGTACGGATCCGGATCATATATCTAACCTGTTTCTCCTCGGCTGTAGCTCCTGAATTCTTGTCCGGATGGCATATTTTAGCCTAAAATACAACCACAGGGATAGATATCAACAAGATGTAAAAACGATCTATACCTTTAGAAAGATGGTGCTCTTAAAGTTATGTTCTGGCTTATTTAATGATTTGCGACGAAATAAACAAGTCTCTGAAGTCTCACCCTTTGTGGAGGGGGGGGGGGATTTGAAATAAATATCCTTGTGCAAACTAAATAAAATGCGTCAACACAATTTAATATCAATCTTATAAAAAGAAAGTGTGTGAAAGAGAATAGAATAAAAACAACGAAAAAGGGAAAAATAAAAAATCTCTTTTATTTATCTGTAACTTTTAGAATGAAAAGAGGTACAGGGTGTTCCATTTAACAGGGGAAATTATACGACATAAGGTTTGTTTTAGATATCGAATTGTCTAATAAATGTATTTTACAAATAGAATGAAATATTAGATAATTAGGAATTATTGTTTCTTTAAATATTATAAAGTAAAATCTAGAATGATTCCGCCCCAGGGGGCGGAAACGTCATGTGTGTGTGTCTGTACCAAAAGAGTGTGTGTCAGTTTACTGTACCAAAGGTTTGTACTGTAGGTTTATACAGTACGTAAGAATCTCGGGATTTGTACAGTCTAGGAGAGTACATTTGTTTATTGTTAATTGTTTAGTTAGACATATGTTTAATATACATGTAATATATTATTTACATATTTAAGTGAACACTATAAAGCCAAATTTTCATGCAAAGAATATAATTCTATTAAAGTTTACAATAAACTACTCGTTATTCAAATTTAATTATAATCGACGACATTGTTCTACAATTTCCTTGACTGTAGTCATGTTGTGTGTCTGTACCAGAAGAGAGTGTGTCAGTTTACTGTACTGGTCTGCAAAGCAGTGCGACTGGCTTTCTCTTGCCGGACCAGCGCCATTTCCTTTCCCTTTATTCCTGTTCCCTGTTCCGCCCATTTTGAAGGTACAAAAATGACAGACCACAATTTGGAAATCTCTTGACTGCGAGTTTCATCATTATTTCTATTATTATTAGAAGACAACCCAGCATTCGGAGAAATAGGAGTCGGTGCTCCTAGACGCCGAAACGTATCCATGGGTTCCGCGGACTGCGGTTCCTAAGGGATAAGACTTACTACATGCGAGCAGCCTAAGACAGCTCCATTTTTCAATTGGAATACATTTAACATTGCGATCATGAAAAAATACCACACGTATCACAGTCCAACCTTAATTTCAATTTTTTTGTGACACCCTGTATAAAAGTGAATGTTTTCCCTTGTTTTCTGTGACACCCAGTATAGACACCCAGAGACATGCAAAACTAAGAAAAAAGATAAACCAGAAAGAACAATCAGCAACTGTTAAGTCAACAAATTCATCCTCATAATAACTCTATATGAGTTCCTGAGGATTAATCAACAATAAACAATAAAAAATAAATTATAAGATACCTGTTTGTAGAACTCCTTTTTAAGGTCCTTACTGGATATATCCTGAGACACACCTAGAACCTGACACACAAAGAATATTATGTTTTTAATTATATTGGATTAGAGTCAAAAGGCGCAAAAAGTACATTTATAAAACATTATTTTAATTTTGAGGAAATAAAAAAGCAGATTTGGAGAAAAACAAAAATTGGCTTGAACTTTATTCATAATTTTTGGCACATTTTGGTAATTTGTTTTCTCCGATAGAGCAACACAAACCCCTTATAAAATATGTTGCAGAAAAATCAAAAATGATTTATCCTTTAATCTCTCCACTTTGTATAAAAAAATTCAAACCTCATAGAAGTTGTTCGAATCCTCATTCTTTCTCGACTGCCGCTGTCTTTGATCTCGTCTTTCCTTCTGCTCCTTGCGTCTTTCCTGCTCTTTCTGTCGTCTTTCCAGCTCTTTCTGCCGTCTTTCCGCCTCCGCACTCTTCTTCTTTTCCTCCTTCTCCTTCTCCCTCTCCTCGTGCTTCTCCTGCTTCTGCTGCACTTTTCGTTTCCTGTTTACCTTGTCGATATTGTACTGGTTGATCTTAGAGTTCGGCAGGATTTTATCAACTGCCAAGAAATCCTTAAATAGTTTGATAAATCTACTTGCAGTCGGAGAGAAGGATCCATGCGGATTATGATTATGATCCGTCCTTTTAAAATTGACTTGAAATCAGATTATTTGAATCCACATCTAGCTTAAAGAGATGTTCGTGAATTTCTTAAATAAAGTAAATTTTCCTTATTTTTGTCTTCGTTTTTAGTGCTACAGCAATACTAATGTCACAACGTTGGGAACCACTCAGTTTTCAAACAAAATATCTAGGAATCTTTTATTTAGACTAAGTGTTTGCGAAAATAATAGGGGAGTAAATACTGATAAAGCCTTCATTCCCCTTAATCCTAATACGAGACCCTCAAGGGGGGGAGGGGGCAATGTAGTTGAAGTGTCTTTTACCTGTAGAGCTAGATCATATTCAGACCATTCCAAGTACACCAGACCTCTCAGTTGCAGTAGCTGAAAACAAGGATAAAAATTTATTTCAGCATACCACCCCCCCCCCTTGCACAGAAATTCGTAAAAATAAAGGAGTATAACATTTTTAACTTTTCAAGAATTTCGGCTAGATTACCCTCTGGTAAGAAATATCGACAAGGCTAAAAATTTATTTCAGCACACCACTCCAACCCGCCCGCCCCTCCCCCGCACATGAATTTGTCAAAATACAGGAATATAACATTTTTAACTTTTTAAGAATTTCGGCTAGATTACCCTCTAGTATTGTGTGTGTGGCGGGGAGGGGGAGTGAGGAGTCTTGCCCCCATTTGCAAATTGTTTAGGTTTATGTTAAAAAGAATAGCATGAAGGCAAGAATAGGACAGGTTATCCAATAAGGAACTATAATGGTTCTATTCAACTGTACGTACATGTTTCGGTAATGGTTAACAAGTTATATTCATTACAGAAGACAAATTTAATCTTCAGATGGTTATATTAAAAGGGTTTCAGAATGTATATTAAGTCTCATTCTTCTTCTTTGGCAACCATGTGAATTTTTATAAATTTTCAAAGGGGGGGGGGGCACAAAACGTATTACTCTTCGGAAAATTTAAACAGTGGTTAAACATAACTTAGAATTGTCGTAGGAGGCTGATTTTTTGCATGCAAACTCAGAATTATGTATATTACGTGCATTTTTTGGTTTTGAAGGAATCTGAGCAAAAGTGCGTGCGCGCGCGCGTTTTTTGTGAAAAAATGCGA